TTGAAGAACCAACTCTTTGTTTCATTGATCCTTTCTATTGTCTTTTTTGTTTCAATATCGTTTATTTCTGCTCTTATTTTTATTATTTCCCTCCTTCTACTGACTCTGGGCTTTGTTTGTTCTTCTTTTTCTAGTTCTGTTAGGTGTCGTTTGAGGTTGCTTATGTGAGCTTTTTCTTGTTTAGCGAGGTGAGCCTGTATTGTGATGAATTTCCCTCTTAGGACTGCTTTTGCTGCATCCCAAATGGTTTGGTATGTCGTGTTCTCATTTTCATTTGTCTCCAGATAATATTTGATTTCTTCTTTAATTTCTTCAATGATCCATTGTTTGTTCAGAAGCGTGTTGTTTAGTCTCCACATTTTTGCACCTTTCTCTGCTTTTTTCTTGTAGTTGATTTCTAGTTTCATAGCATTATGATCAGAAAAGATGCTTGATATTATTTCAACTCTCTTGTATTTATTGATGTTTGCTTTGTTTCCCAAAATATGGTCAATCCTTGAGAATGTTCCATGTGCACTTGAGAAGAATGTGTAACCTGCTGTTTTTGGATGAAGTGTTCTATATATATCTGTTAAGTCCATCTGGTCTAATTTTTCATTTAATTCTATTATTTCCTTGTTGATTTTCTGTCTGGATGTTCTGTCCATTGGTGTTAATGGTGTGTTGAGGTCCCCTACTATTATTGTATTGTTGTTGATGTTTTCTTTTAGTTCTATTAAGAGTTGCGTTACAAATTTTGGTGCTCCTGTGTTGGGTGCGTATATATTTATAAGTGTTATGTCTTCTTGGTGGAGAGTCCCTTTTATCTTTGTCTTTCTTTATCTGTTTTGCTTTGAAATCTACCTTGTCTGATATTAGTATAGCGACACCTGCTTTCTTTTGTTCATTATTAGCTTGGAGTGTTGTTCTCCATCCCTTCACTCTGAGTCTGTGTTTGTCTTTGGGGCTGAGGTGTGTTTCCGGGAGGCAGCATATTGTTGGGTCTTGTTCTTTGATCCATCCTGCCACTCTGTGTCTTTTGATTGGGGAGTTCAATCCGTTTACATTTAGAGTGATTATTGAAATGTGGGGGCCTACCACTACCATTTTGTGTCTTGTTTTCCGGTTTTCTTGAATTTCCTTTGTTTCTCCTCCCATGGTTTAATCTGTTCTGATGAAGACCTGCTACTCTCTGTTGTTGTCCTTCTACTTATCTCCTCTGCTCTTGGTTTTGTAGCCCCTTTCCTTTTTTGGATTTTTCAGGAATGAGGGTTTTCCTGAGGATTTCCTGAGGAGGAGGTTTTGTGGCAATGAACTCCCTTAATTTTTGTTTATCTGGGAAAGTTTTTATTTCTCCATCGTATTTGAAGGATATTTTCGCTGGGTAGAGAATTCTCAGCTGTAGATTTTTGTCCTTCAGATTTTTGAATATATCATTCCACTCTCGTCTAGCCTGTAAAGTTTCTGCTGAGAAATCTGCTGATAGCCTGATGGGGGTTCCTTTGTAGGTTAGTTTCTTTTGCCTGGCTGTCCTTAGTATTTTCTCCTTGTCGTTGACTTTTGCTAGCTTCACTACTATATGCCGTGGAGTTGGTCTTCTTGCATTGATAAAGTTTGGAGATCTATTGGCTTCTGTCACCTGAAGATCCATCTCTCTCACCAGATTTGGGAAGTTCTCAGCCATTATTTCTTTGAATAGGCTTTCTGCCCCTTTCTCCTTCTCTTCTCCCTCTGGTATACCTATAATCCTTATGTTGCATCTCCTAATTGTGTCTGATAATTCTCGGAGAGTTTCTTCATTTCTTTTTAGTCTTACTTCTCTCTCCTCCTCTGCCTGCAGCAATTCTATATTGCCATCTTCCAAATTGCTAGTTCTTTCCTCCATATTATCAGCCCTACTGTTCAGTGCATCTAGATTTTTCTTAATCTCCTCTATTGTGTTCTTCATTTCCAATATTTCTGTTTGGTTCTTCTTTATCGTATCAAAGTCTTTTGTGACATAGCTCCTGAACTCGTTGAGTTGTCTGTCTGAATTCTCTCTTAACTCATTGAGTATTTTAATGACGGCTGTTTTGAAGTCATCATCATTTAGGTTATATATCTCATTTTCTTTGGGGTTGTTTTCTGTGTATTTGTTATTTTCATTCTGTTCTGGAGATTTAATGTATTTTTTCATATTGCTTGATGTTGTTGATTTGTGCCTCCGCATAGAGATAGAGTTTAGTTGCTCCTTTCACTTGTTTCTGCTGCTGCGGTGGGGGAGCAGCTGTTTATACTGCACCAACCAGGAACCCTATCTGCAGTTGCTAACTGGGCCTGGGCCCCTCCTTGTAGTCACAGTGGTCCTTTGGATTCCCTCCTCTGCTGTGGGGGCCGTCACAGCGGGGCTTCAGGCTGCTGGTGCCTACTGTTGCAGCCCACCTAGACGTGCTCCCTCCTTGGGGTCTGCAACGGTGTTATGGGCTTTTCCAGCGGCCAGGGGTGGGATCACTTATATTTGTCGCTCCGTCACTGTCGGCACCCACAAAATCTCACTTGTCCACTATGGGTCGCAGGAGAGCTATTGGCATCTTCTACAGTCTGTGGTTAGTTCACCTAGCTATGCTACTTTTGTCCCGGGGTCTTCCAGCCTTGTGGCTGCCAGATGGGTGCTTTCTACTAGTGCTTTGCAGAGGCTTTCCCTGAGGCTGCTGTGAGCCTGTAGGGTTTCCCCCTAGGCTACAGAGGTGGGTCGCTGGAACTCCACCCAGCCCCCATCCTGTTCCCCAGGAACTCGGGGAGCCCTTTGCCCTGTCGTGGGGGATAGCCGGAGATCCTGATTTCAGTGGTAGCTGGTCAGCTGCTGCCCTGCCTGATATTCTCCTCTCCGGGACCCTCCCGGTATTGTGGATGCTGGGCATGGCCCCTCCGCTAATAGCAGACAGAGAGTTTTGTCTGCTGCCCAGGGAGAACTCTGGAGCTTCCCTCCGGGCCGCAGAGCCAGCCTCTGGAGCTTCACCCAGCCCCAGTCCTCTCCGAGATCTCCGGCAATCCCTAGCCCCACGGGGTGGGCAATGGCAGCTTGGGGTCACCTTGCCCTCTGGGATTCTCTCCGGAACTTTCCCGGAGTTGTGAATGCTGGGCGTGGCCCCTCCGCTAATGGCAGACAGAGAGTTTTGTCTGCTGCCCAGGCAGAACTCTGGAGCTTCCCCTCCGGGGCGCAGAGCCGGCCTCTGGAGCTTCCCCCAGCCCCAGTCCTCTCCGAGATCTCCGAGATCTCCAGCAATCCCTAGCCCCATGGGGTGGGCAATGGCAGCTGGGGGTTGCCCCGCCCTCTGGGGTTCTCTCCGGGACTTTCCTGGAGTTGTGAATGCTGGGCGTGGCCCCTCTGCTAATGGCAGACAGAGAGTTTTGTCTGTGGCCCGGGCAGAACTCTGGAGCTTCACCCAGCCCCAGTCCTCTCCGAGATCTCCGGCAATCCCTAGCCCCACGGGGGGGGCAACGGCAGCTGGGGGTGGCCCCGCCCTCTGGGATTCTCTCCGGGACTTTCCTGGAGTTGTGAATGCTAGGCGTGGCCCCTCCACTAATGGCAGACAGAGAGTTTTGTCTGCTGCCTGGGCGGAACTCTGGAGCTTCCCCTCCAGGGCACCGAGTCGGCCTCTGGAGCTTCACCCAGCCCCAGTCCGCTCCGAGATCTCTGGCAATCCCTAGCCCCACCATGCAGGCAGTGGCAGCCGGGGGACCTCCGTACCCTCAGCGATTCTCTCTGGGACCCTCCGGGCGCCGTGAACACTAGGCGGGATCTCCCCGCCAATGGCGGGGAGAGACTCTCCCTGTGGGCTCAGGTGTGTAACTCTAGAGTTTCCCTCTGCGTTTAGGAGTAATTGAGGGGGGTTTAGGTAGGGTTCTGGTCACCTGTTTCCACCGTCACTCCTCTGTTGTGTGCTCGCTCCTGCCCTAGATGTGTGTTGATCTTCTGGGGGGCGTCCGTTGGAAGAAAGCCGCTTGCAGGTACTAGGCTGTTCGGTTGGGGTCAGAGAGTTTTCACCTATTTCCACATCCTCCCAGAGGAAAGTCTGTCCGCCTTCCGATGTATAGTCGTGTGGGTCTCTCAGACGTCCTGAGATGCTGTCTGGATATCCTTTGTTAAGCGATAAGTGTCCAAATAATTGTAGACTCGAAGGGGGAGAGACAAAGAGGACTACTCACGGCACCATCTTGGATCTCTTCTTCCATTTTGAGTTAATTTTTGTGAGTGGTGTAAGATAGGGTTTGAGGGGCCTGCCCCCCGGGGCGGAGTGGTTAAGTTCGAGCTCTCTGCTTTGGTGGCCCAGGGTTTCGAGGGTTAGGATCCTGGGCGCGGACATAGCACCACTCCTCGAGCCATGCTGAGACGGCATCCCACATAGTACAACTAGAAGGACCCACAACTAAAAATATACAACTATGTACAAGGGGGCTTGGGGGAAAAAGGAAAAATAAAATCTTTAAAAAGAAAAAAAAATAGGGATCGAGTTTCATTCTTTTTTGTGTGGCTATCTAGTTTTCCCAAGACCATTTATTGATGAGACGGTACTTTCCCATTGTGTATTCTTGGTTCCTTTGTTGTAAATTAATTGACTGTATTGCGTGGATTTATTACTGGGCTTTCTATTTTGTTCCATTGATCAATGTGTTTGTTTTATGCTAATATCATACTGTTTTGATTACTATAGCTTAGTAATATAGTTTGAAATCAGGAAGTATGATGCCTCCAGCTTCATTCTTCTTTCTCAAGATTGCTTTGGCCTGGTGACTTCTATAACTATTTAGTTTCTTTTATTTTTACTGCAAGAAACTCAATCAAAATTTGTGGCCCATCTCTAGCTTACCTATGATTTTAGCTTATTTTTCCCAACCCAATTTTATAATCTGCTCCTTTTTAACCTCTTGTGTGTATGTTAAGTGATCTGCCTTAAATTCTTTTTAGAAGTTATATATGATAAAAATATATAATTATAGCTTATTTGGAGGATTCATCGTTAATTTTCTGTGTCAGACAGGCTCTAACGTTGTGCGAAGGCTTGCATTAACCATGTACGTCCAACATGAAATATAACTTCCCCATTCATCTTCAGAAATGTTTAAAGCAATTCCAATCCAAGATGATACCAATCCGTAAGTACTGTGGTCTACCTCATGGATGGAGGATTCTGAAATTTGGGATTGAAGGAAATAGGAAAGGATCAGAGAGAGAGCCTAGGAAGATAACATCAATTTTGAAGGAGGAAGTGATATCTCTTCTGAAACAAAAGATGAGAAGGGATGGAGGCAAAGACAGAGATATTCTAATGTGGATAGAAGGAGAGACGAAGGAATATACAAGTGATGGTTCAAAATTTTAAGGAAAGAAAGAAGTAAGGGGAAGATTTAAAGTAATCTGCGTGAAAAGGAACACCGGTTAGTTCTGATATGACCAGCCCCATTGGGGTGACAGAAGTCAATAGAAGAGTAACAACAACAAAAAGAGCGAAAAAGGTCATTTCAACAGTTCATCAAATTTCTACGAGTGTTACCATTTTAAGATACTGTGTAGGCTCAGGGTCAGAGAAGATAAAATCCCATTCCTTGCGGTTGTCACACTTAATGGGAAGGCCACCACCAGAGCCCAGTTGAAAACAGACAAAAGTGAAATACTAGCATAATCACATGACAATCTTCAACAATGCTTCTCGGACTTAGGAGGAGAGGGAGATGAGTTGGGGTTGTGAAGGTTCAGGTCTACCAATGACCTTGTGGAGGTATTCAAGGCAGTACCAGTCCTGGTGAACCCGATGCCCTGCCTAGGAAAGGAGATATGTAGAGTAAGAGAAAGTACTGCTCCTGTGTAGAGGGAGTGGAACAGGTGTCCAGAAAGGTGGTGCCACCTATAAGGGGCCATCAATTTAGAGATCTTTTAAGTGATAAGAGACCCCGAGGTTAAGCCCTGAGGGTGAGTCACTGAGACAGTGTAGAGGGACGTGGACGAGCAAGAAGTGTTGTGAAGATGTAATAAGGCCTTGCATATGTCATAATGTGATGTAAACAAATAGGAAGTACTATACAGGGATTGTGGGGAGTTGGCTCCCCACAAATCTGAGAGAGACCAGAGCATGTAAGGTCCTGCTCACCCATGAGACTATCTACAGGAATTCTGATTCTAAAGTCGTCTCCATTTATATTGGCTTATCTTTTTGAGACACTAAGTTGTTTCTGAGCTGCCTTGCCATGAAGATTCATTACATTTTCTTAGCTCTTCTTTTCTTTGGCCTGTTATCTGTCTCAGGTAAAACTTTAGCAAAAATAAGGGAAGAGTTGACACAGATGAGAAGGCTATAGGAAATGACACAACAGCCATCTGTTGGCAATGGTAGTACTTTGTGGTGGTCAAAGAATGTTTTGAATGACTGAATCGTTATTTCTTTACAAATGACTCCTTGAGAATAGAATAGAATTTGGAGAATTCCAGAATTATCTTTCTATTTTATACCAAATTTCTCACCTCAGCTATAAGGTAGAATCTCAGATTATTTCCAAGGAGAATATAGGGATTATCTCCTCTACCCCCTCATTTTACAAAAAATGATTTTGAGACCTTGAATCCAGGTCCTCTGCCTCCCAGTACACCATGCAAATTTTATTTCCACTCTCATGGTTCTCTGCTTATTATAAGGAAAGTACAAATAGTATTCATTTCACAGAGTTTCATTGTGAGCCTGAAATGTGTTAATCCATGTAAAGGGCTTTTAAGAAATACTTGACAAATAGTAAGTGCCCAATAAATGTTAACTATTGTTATTATCATTATTACATTTTTCACCTCTTCTTTAATTTAGTCCCTTCAGTAATTTTTCCGTTCGGTCAAAGAATATCCTCTCAGGATGAGCCCAGAAAAAACTGAAGCTACTGGAGTTTATCTTTAGAACTTCAGGTACCCAGGAAGTGATAAGGGCCTGATAGGGCTAAGAATGGAAAGGAAGGGATGGAGAAGAGGGACAATATCAGGAAGATGAAAACATTGATGGCATGAGGGTGAGAAGAGGGAAGAAGCGTCAATGATGGGACATGGGGTTGGGTTGAGTGATTTGGAAAGTTTTGGTGCCATTAATAGAAATTTGAATTCAGGGAAAAGGAGCTGGTTTGGGGATGAAGCCAGTTAAAATGATTCCAGAAATGGTTACTTTGAAGTGACAATGAGTCATCCAAGTGGAAATAATCTAGCTGCTAGACAAGTGGAGATATGAAACTAGGAGAAAGCTTGTGGCTGAAGCTAAACATTGTGGGACCTTCCAAAAAAGTATGACAGTTGAAATTATGTGACTAGATTACTACTTCAAGGTACTTCTCCCTCTCTCCTTCTCTCCGGCATATTATGTTCTGGGCACAGTGGTGATAGGCGCTGTGTGTTAGTGGAGGACAGAGGCAGTATAGAAAACTACCACACTCTCTTCCTTTCTTCTCCTCCTTTCTCTTCTCCCCTCCACTTTGCTCTCTCTCTTTCTCTATTTTTTGTTCCTGAATATATAAGGAAGCTTACAAATTGTATCCAATGAGTTTTTTTAAAAGCTAAGTAGGGAGATTCAGGCAGAGGAAAATCAGCTTAGAAAAAGTAATTTGGAACAGTGATGATATTATGTTCCAAAATGATCCCTGGGTGAGGTTGCTGAAAGTGGAGGGTAGAGAAAGTCCTTGATGTGGATTTCAATTAGGAGTAGTGTAGTCTAGGCTCCCTCCAGAGAAACTGCACCTAAGCTTTATGTACCTGTTGCCCCCACCTGAACGGAGTGACAGGACATCCAGCATGGCATGGTCTTCTACAAAGTTCAAGGCCTTTTTTGTAGGATGGTCCAATAACTCTGGACTTATCTGGTTGACAGGGAGGTAAATTGGTCTTCCACAAAACGTCAGGAACACCTGCAGTCCTTGTCAGTTCCTTTAAAAATCTATTTTTAAATCTGATTAAAAACTGTTTTGTTCCCATGGGCCATTATCACCTTTAGTTCCATAAGTCTTTATATTTGCAGTCTCTACTAGAACTTCGTAAATGTATCTGCAAATAAATGTAGTCCCCTGTTTTTGTTTATTTGTTAACTTATCTATCTGCTTATTTTTAGGAACTGAAGATACTCATGAGGTCGTTAGCTTCCTGGACTGTAAAAATCAAACATTGTGCAATTCCTCAAATGAGGATGGAAGCTGTTCTCGTGCTAACCTAGAGCTTGGAATGTGTGTCTTGCGTTTTAGACATGAGAAGCTAACCTTAAAGAAGTAGAAAATCAGGAAGACAGGATGCTCAACTCCCTTGTCTTATGAAAAAATAAAGTTTGTTTTCTTTTCTCTCTCTTCTTTTCTATAGTGACACACTTATTTATTTATTGATAGTTCAGACAAAAGTTTATCAAGGAATTACAATGAGAGCCAACATCTGTTCTTGAGTTCCAACAGATCCGAGAATACAGGTTAATAAAACCAAAGAACACCTGTTCTGTCTGGGTTGGGGTGGAAAGCTTGGGGGAGTGTGAAGTGCCAGAGAAAAGGATCTGAAGGGGCATCTATAGCGTGTCTGTGAGATACGGATAGGGCACGTGGCAATAGAAGTTATTAAGTTTTACTCTAGATTAGGAAGAGTTGTGGGAGATTAGAATTTGCCAACCTAAAATGTGTCTCTTTGGTTTGATTGTTTTTAAGAACAAAATGCTGGGGGCCAGCCCCATGGCCGAGTGGCTAGGTTCACATGCTCTGCCTTGGGGGCCTGGGGTTTTGTGGGTTCAGATCCTGGGTATTGATGTGATGCCACTTGTTGGGCCATGGTGAGGTGGTGTCCCGCATGGCACAGCCAGAGGGACTTACGACTAAAATGTGCAACTGTGTACTGGGGGGCTTTTGGGAGAAGAAGAAGAAAAAAACAAAATACTCAGAAAGAAACTTTGACCTTCCCCCTAACTGCCTAAAAGAATTTAAGATAGAAGGCCTGTCCCAGAAAGGAGCTATCATCATAAATAACTCTGGGTGTGGTAGACAGGAAGGCACTTAGCAAGGCCCATTTTTTTCTTTTTTCTTTTTGTTTAGTTTTAAGCGCCACCCCCCACTTTTTTGTGGTGAGAAAGATTGGCCCTGAGCTAACATCTGTTGCCAATCTTCCTCTTTTTGTTTGAAGAAGAGTGGCCCTGAGCTAACATTTGTGCTCATCTTCCCCTGTTTTGTTTGTGGGATGCTGCCACAGCATGGCTTGATGAGTGGTGTAGATCTGCTCCCCAGATCTGAATCCAGGCAGCTGAAGTGGAGCATGCCAAACTTAACCACTATGCCACCAGGCCTACCCCTTAAGGCCCATTTTTTTGAAGTTCTGTCTCGTTGTCTATAGATGGTCCAGCAAACATTTGTTACCAAACATTTGCTTTTCCATCACCATGTGTCTTGTCTTCCTCCCCTTTAAAGTCCCAAACCACTACCGCCAACATCTTTCTTTGTCTTTAGCTGAAGATGATATTTAGGGTGGTGGCTTCAGCCATTTTGGTGAGTTACTCAGTTTTTCTGGGTTTCATCAATCTGTACATGCTATTAAATTTGTTTGATTTTCTCTTGTTATTCTGTCTCATGTCAATTTAATTCTTAGCCTGAAGCCAGGTACTTGAGGGTTACTGTAAAATATTCAATAAGAACATGATTATTCTTGACCTTGTTCCCAACATAGACACAGATGAAAAGAAGTTAATCTTGTTAATTTGCTATTTTCTTGTTTAACCAGAAGGGTGACTCACAGGTCATAAGGATTTATGAGCTTGTTTTGCAGTAAAAAAAGAACACCTTCAAGAAAGTTATGATCACCAGATAACCAGCGCCAGCTGCTGAGAAGATGCTGAGAAGTCTGATTGCCCAATGACTTATCTGGAGTGAAAGAAACGTGGATTTCCCTTTTGTTTCTCTGAAACTCCTCTTCCCAAGCCTCTTAGCTCTATAAAACCCCCTGCTTTCTTCTTTTGTTAAGGTGGATTTGAGAGAACCTATCCTTCCGCCTTCTTATTCTGACCAATTGAACAAATCTTTCTCTGTCTCCAAGCACGGATGTCTCAGTCATTGGCTTGTTGCACATCAGGCACGCAAATTTGAGATTAAGAGGTTCGGTATTAAGACCAGCCACGAGAACCTAGAGGGTATAGGGATAGTTCTTCCTCTAGAGAGTCTTTCCTCTATGTTTTGCAGATTTTGGTAAAGTCTTCATATGCTTTTAAAGATTACTTTTGGCTCAAAATCTTGGATTGTAAGATGTTAGTGTTTGTGTCATGATTCCTTTTCCTGCCTTTAGAAGTCAAATACCCACATATTACCCAGACCGGGTAAAGTAGGAAAGTGGTTCCTTGAGCTTGGGACTGTTTCCCGTTGCCCCCCCGTGCCTGTGATGCCCAAACTATCTGCAGTGACTATTTGCATGCCCCTACTCAGCATGCAAACAAGGCCGTGCTCCCCAAGTACCCTATTCATCAAGGTTCACTGATTCCACCACACCAACTTCCCTCTGGAACTGCTCTGTTAGATTTTTAGGAAAAAACAACCTGATTGAACAATTTTAATTTGTATGGAAAGACTGACTACTTATGCAGAAATATCTGCATTTTGAATAGGAAGCTTAAAGCTAGTAGTGAATTTCAGACTATAGAACTAAAGTGAAGAATTTCAGGCAAATATGGGTCTATCAGCCAGAGTTTTGGCTGCAAATAGATGAGACATTCAAAGAGGTTCCCAAAGGTTTGGGCAGGGCTACTGTCCAGGAATGGGGTAGCAGGCAGGGAAAGAAATGGAGGGATGGAAACTTTAACTAACAGGTTAACTAATAGGCCTCCCCTGGAGGCCCACAGGGAGGGAGCAAGAGGGAGTTCCCCAAACACTAGCAAAGGAAATACAAAGGAATAGCCAGGGAAAACAGCAAGGGAACAATGGTTTGACTTTATTAATAGAAGGAGAGACAGCAGTAAGGCTTATAAATGGAGATATTGGTATGGGATGTGCTTAGAGGCAAAAGTTTTTGCTTGCCTGCTTGTTTAAAAATTCAGTGTGGCAGCTGCAGGCCCTGCGTGAGTCAGAAGCGATGTGGCGTCCCAGAGGGAAGCTGCCCCTTCTCCTGTGTCCTGCCCTGACCCAGGTGAGCTGGGTCCCTTTGTGATGTTGATGACAGTGCCCAAGAGGGGAAAATGAGGATGGCTCCCTCCCACCCCCACCCTCAGTCTTCCCAACCTGCCACCAGCCCTCCAGCCCAGCCCAAGGGGATCAGATGTCCCTGTCTAGTAGGTTCTCGAGCTTGGATTAGGGGCAGTGGATGTGGCAGTCGTGTGTCCCATGTTGTCGCCCTCCTGCCAAGCAGCCAGCTGCAGGACGTGGCTTTGGAGGTGCTACGCCAGTCCCTCCTGGGCTGCAGTGGGAAGACCTGGCCCCCAGATGGTGTGAGAGACACAGGCTGGGCCAGGCTGGCTATTCCAGTTCCCACAAAGCCCGCTCTGTCTTGTGGATCAGGGAAATTATAGCTCTAGTCCCTGCTCCCAATGTTCTGTGTGCTTTAGAAAATGTGTATTAAAAACATGTAAAATGTACTGTTTATGCTTCTCACTGATACACATTCATCATTTCCTGTTTCTGTCCACCGCCCCCTCCCCCAAGCCAATGCCCAGGGATGGTTGCACTAATTTTCCAATTGGCCTCCCAGCCTTGGGCTTGCTCTCAAATTCATTCTTCACAGACCCGCCAGAGAGACTGTGTGCATGTGTATCTGTGTGTGTGTGTGTGTATGAGAGAAAGAGAGAGAGAGAGGATTCCATGGCTTATCTCTTTCTTTGGAGGGAAAGAGCTGAATTTCATATGCACAGAATCACGTGTTTACTGGTGTGGATACTCGGAGAGGACTTGAGTGTGTATATGGTGTGTGTCACTTAGAGTCTCTGGGAAATGAGTGCTGGAGATTCCCATGAGCTGCGCTTTTGCTTTGGGAAGCCAAGGCACACCAAGATCACAGTCCCCGAGTCAGTGGGGCTGAGAAATTAGAAAGGATAGACCACTATTCCAACCATGGCTATGTTGTAAGCTGGAGAGAGTTGCAAGAGGTACACCCTTCATGCCCCCTCCCCTAAACTAGCAAACAAAAAACAGTAACATCAATGAGCAATGGCAAAAACAACCAGGCAAAATGATGATAATTAATACATAGTACTTGCTCAGTTATCGGTGGGAGGTAGGTAGTATTTATCACTTGAGTACATATGAGGAAACTGAGCCACCTGAGAGGTTAAAGAGCCTTCCTGGGAGCACGCAGGTTGTAAAGGGTGATGCTGTTGTAGGGGAAGAGCTATTCCCCTACCCTCTAGGTCCTTCTGGTTGGCCTAGGAATTAAGCTGACATGAGACAGAATAACAGGAGAAAACCAAAGTTTAATAACATGTATACATGCGAGAAACCCAGGAAAACTGAGTAACTCACCAAAATGGTAGAAACCACTGCCTTAAATACCATGTTAAGCTAAGGACAAAGGAGGATGTTAGAGGTAGTGGTTTTGAACTTCAAATGAAAGGAAGGCAATTCACATGGAGAGGGAAAAGCAAACATCTGGTAAAATCTATAGACAACGGGACCTGAGAGAGAAAACTTTGGTGAAAATGGGCTTAGCAAGGTTTCTTCCAGTCTACCATACCCAGAGTTATCTATGGTGATGGCTCTTTCCTGGGACAGGCCGTCTATCTTAAATTATTTTAGGCAGTTAAGAGGAAGGTCAAAGTTTCTTTTTGAGTTTTTTTGTTCTTAAAAATAGTCAAGCCAAAGAGACGCATTTAGGGGTGGCAAATTCTGATCCTCCCCACTGGGATTCAAATCCAAGCAGTGCGAGCCTTTACCTACTGTCCAAAGAAAGCAATTGAAAGCAAGTGTACAACTTGAAGGATAAACTTAAAGCAACGTATCATGACAACGGCTGGAACAAGTTCATAGCAGGCAAAGCCAACTAGCTTGACTGAGCAAAAGTTGGGGGTCCTTTAATTTCTACACAAGGAGACATGTTGCCCTTTTAAGTAGAGTGAGAGGGAGCTGTAGATAGCAACAGGATTGCAGGTAATACGCAGGACAGGAACAAATTTTAAAACATAGTCCATGAAATAAATGTCCTTTCAGTCTGTAATAACTCAAATGAACTCAGGTAAAAATATAAATACATTACAAGAGACTGCAATCTCTTTTAAGAAAAATAATTATGTGTATTAATATCAGAAGAATATCAATTGGGATGAACCCGGATCTTGTCCCATTAAGATTAGACAATGAAGCCAAAAGACTTTGAACTTTGAACTCAACCATGATATATTCA